ATTTTTTTTCCTATGTTTGTCCCTCTGCCCTGTCTCACTCTCCCATTACAATATCCCTGCTATATACAGTTGTCTTCCAGAAGAGTTACTGAAAAAGTGATACATACAAGTAAAGGGAGAGAGGCCACGAGTTCCAACCATCAGCTCATAAAGTTTTTGGCAATAGGGAGCATAAACTCCACTCAGGGTTGGATTAAGGGAGGGTCTCCTGCAGATCCGCAAGTGTAGGTGAGTCTCCAGGGAATGCAGTTTCAGGAAAGCAGTTCTGGTACGCAGGGATGATTATCAGCTGATGCGGCACAGCAGTCATCTTGTAGTTACCAGGAATGGTGTTGTGGGCATCTGCAGTGTGAGTTGTCCTTGGGTATCTGGCTTCCTTAAGAATGGCAGAGTAGATCTTGTTTTCCCCTGAGGTAATGCAGGGCTGGTAACTGTCATCTTCTCAAGTTGCAAGTTCTTCAACCTTGTTTTCGGCCTCCGGGCCATCCAGCACCGGAGAGGCCAGGGAGGCCGGGCCCCCAGCGGGGGGCCGGCCATTCCGGCGCACGGCTGCGCAGGGGTGGCTACATTGGTATTATGTTCATGGGTTGAGTTTTTGCTTAAAGAAATAGCAAATTCTTGGCAACTCCTAAAAGGGACCCTATCAATTTTGGCTTATTAGGGAAGTAATCACTAAAATTAGAGAGGATTATGGTTCAATTTAAGAAGTCCAATTTGTTTAATTCCTTATCTAGTCACTGAATAGAGCTGCTGAATATCAGCCAACCTAAGAAAGTCATTCTAGGTTATTGTTGGTTCCCTTTGGCTAACATGGCTGTCATGGGAAGAAAGTGAAGCAGCATTTTTACACTGAACCTGCCTCTATTAGAGAAATTAACTGTCAAATATTAGGCAAGCCACTTCCTCTTTGTGAGCCTCAGTTTCCTCATCTATAAAGTAAATGTCAGGTTAGGCCAGAGGGCAGACATAAACTACTAGGGAGGCAAAATAGTGACACAGTGGTAAAATGTGATACTCTGCGAGGCAATCTGCCATGGAAAGGTTTCCGGTTCAAGTCCAAAGACTTCCTTAAGTATGACAGGCACACATCTGCCCATGTTCCAGGACTGGCTGAAGGTGGGGGTGGACTGCAGCAGTGGAAATACCCTGTTGGAGGTTTTCTCTCTTTGTCTTTCCCTCTCTTGCTCGCAGAAGAAATTAATTAATAACACCATCAAAAAAACACCACTAAAGATGTATGACGAAGAGACAAAGCAAGGATTTTTTGGGAAAATGTACAGGCAGAAAAATAGAGGTAACAAGATGGTCCTTCAAAGTTCCATTATCCTTTGGTGAGGCAACCTAGGTCTGAGTATGACTAGCCCCACTGTGACCATGCTTTTGCAAAGGCTCTCTACCCCAATGTAGTCCAGTAGCCCTTCCAAGCCAGAGAAAGGCAGCTGTTAGGATAGTCTACAGATGATGGAGTTCTCTTTCTCTTTTTATTTTTAAAAAAATAATTATTTAATTTTTTTTTAATCATTATTATTTTTTTAATTTGACCAGAGAGAGAGAGAGGAATGGAGGGAGAGAAAGTAAGCAAGCAAGCTGTCAGGTCCAGGACTCAAACCATGATCCTCCATGTGGGAGTTCAGTACCTCAGCCTCCATGCTACCCACTGCACCCATGGAGTTCTCTTTTTCAATAAGGAAATTAAGGGGCCAGCAGTTAGTGTAATGGCTATGTTGCTGGAATCCCATGTAGTCGACCGCAATTCGAGTCCCGGACCTGGTGGCTTAAAATCACACCAGGCGCATGTGCATGCGTGCCCATGATCCTGAGAGGAGAATAGAGGAGAAGGGATTGCGGTGTGGCCATCCCCCCTGGCGGGTGATTTCTCGCTTTCTGTCTCTCTGTCTCTCTCTCTCTGTCTTTCTGGCGAGTGCATGTGCCCTGTAGCAAAAACCTCTCAAAAAAAAAAAAAAAAAAAAGAAAAAAGAAAAAAGGAAATTAAGTCAACTGCTTTCTAAGTTATAGGGTTATTATGATGATAGTTAAAATATTTTATAGGGCTGGCCCTGTAGAGAGTGGTTAAATGCTATACAGAAAATATCAGATCCCACATGGCCAACCAGGGTTTGAGTCCTGGCGCTGGGGGCTTACACACCAGACAGGCACATGCTTGTCCGTGTTCCTGGTGGAGAGTCAGAGAAAAAAGATAGCAGCATGATTATTTCCCTTAGGACAGTGCCTTCTCCTTTTCTGTCATGTGTACCCTCTGGCATAATCTTAAAAAAAATATTATCTATAAGCACTTCAGTAACTGGTACAAAGGGAGCATTCAGTAAGTGGCAGCTATTATGACTATTAGGTTTGATTTTGCTTCAAACATCCTAGTCTGTATGAAAATAAGACTTTGTTTTTTAACTCCAGGAAAGAAATTAGCCCCTTTAACACACTTTCTCCATTTTTCTTTAGGTTTTGGCCTTGGTCTTTGTCAGGAAAGTCATGGATCTCTGTTTCTCTAAGCGAGAGCTGAGCTGGTTAGATGATCTCATGCCTGAAAGCAAAAAGAAGAAGTTGGATGATGCCAAAAAGAAGGCCAAGGAGGAAGAGGTCATAGTCCTTGTACCATCTATACACTTTGGGGCCTCAAATTACGGAACATAGGAAGGGCCACATGAAAAGTCAGCATGTCTAGAATCCCAAGGGTTATATTTAGGAGCAGGGAAGGTTACCTTAGAGATGTTCTCAGCTGAAAATGGATGAAGGATTCTTGCTCTCATCTGACCTTCATTTTCAGATTTGGTAACCAGTTGTTTTTCTTTTGTTTGCCCACAGTCTACTCATGAAGTTCACACCTAGGGTATAAACATAGGATCTACTCTTAATATTAGATCCAGTGGCTCATGGTCTTCCAAAAGATCTAATTTGACAAGTATATAAAATCCATTATTTTATTTGTTATTTATCTAATTATAGATTGTGTTATTGATGGTACTATGCAAACATAGAACTTTCTGTCCATTTTCATTTCTTGTAGCACTTGACACCTTGCCATGTATGCAGTGGATCCTTAATTAACAGCCTATGCATGCAAAGAAAGGATATGTAGCAAAATGAAAATACTAGACCAAGAAATGAATGAGCTAGAAAGCATTTTCAAATACAGTTAGTGCCTAGGGGCCAGCAGGTGGCGTGGTGGTTAAGGTGCTGTACATTCCCACATGGCAGACCACAGTTTGAGTCCCAGCGCTGGTGGCTTGGTTTCTCTCTCTCCATTTCTCTCTCTCTCTGGTCAAATTAAAATAAATTAATGAATAAATAAAATTAAATAATTATTTTTTAAAATTATGTTTAAAAAATAGTTAGTGTCTAAATAGTGCCCTTCAAAATACTTTTTAAAAGATTTTATTTTTTTATGGGGCTGGCAGGTAGTGTGGTGGTTAAGGGCACTGGACTCCTACATATCTAACCACAGTTTGAGTCTCGGACCTGGTGGCTTGCTTTCTCACTTTCCCTCACTCTCTCTTGCTCTCTTGCTCAGTCCCTCTCTGATCAAATAAAATAAATAAATAAATAAATAAATAAAGTTAAATAAAATAATTCTTTAAAAAAAGATTTTTTTCCTAATATCTTGAATTTTGAAAACCTAAATAAGGAAGAAATCTTGGAAGTGAATATTGATAGAACTCTATACATACAATGTGAAACTTTCAAGGTCTCCAAAAGTTTATGAGTGAAATGATTAAATAACAGTTTAGCTAAAGTATTTATTAATATCCTCTCTGCTCGAATAATTTTTACTATTGAATGAGAACAATAGTAGAATAAAAATGAGCAATAGACATAGATAATTTACGAAAGAAGAAATATAAATGGTCAATTACCTTATAACGAAAAGTTAATTCTTACAAATAAAGAAATGGAAATTTAAAGGAGAATACATTTTACACTTACCAAATTGGCAAAGACTTTTAAAAAGATTAAAAGATCTGTTGTGGGAGTCAGCAGATGGCATGGTGGTTCAGGCACTGGACTCCCACATGGCTGACCATAGTCCGAGTACTGGGTCTGGTGGCCTGATTTCTCACTTTCTCTCTCTCCTTCTCTCTGTCTCTCTTTGGTAAATACACGAGCTCTATAGCAAATTAAAAAAAAACAAAAGGGGGGACCAGCAGTTGGTGAAATGGCTGTCACTGGACTCCCACGTAGTCAACTGCAGTTCGAGTCCTGGACCCGGTGGCTTAAAATCACGACAGGCGCGTGTGCATGTGTGCCCAAGATCCCGAGAGGAGAATAGAGGAGAAGGGATTATGGTGTGGCTATCCCCCCAGCGGATGATTTCTTGCTTTCTGTCTCTCTGTCTCTGTCTGTCTTTCTGGTGAGCACATGTGCCCTATAGCAAAAAAAGGAGGGGGACAGTAAGTGGAATAGTGGTTAAGTTGTTGGACTCCCACATGGCAGCCACAGTTTTTTGAGTCCTGGACCCAGTGGCTTGAGACTCATGCCTGGCATATGTGCTCGTGAGCCCAAAATCCCAAGAGGAGAATGGAAGAGAAGGGATTGCAGCATAGTCATCACCCTGGGGGGTGATTTCTCACTTTCTCTCTCTCTGTCTCTTTGGCAAATGCAAACACACTCTAACCAAAAAACAAACAAACAAAACAAACAAAACCCAACAACAGCAGCAAAAACTCTCTTTAAAAAAAATGTCAAAAAGGGACCGGCAGGTAGAGCCATGGTTAAGGGTGTTGGACTCCCACATGGCAGACTGAGGTTCAAGTCCTGGACCTGGCAGCTTGCTTTCTCACTTTCTCTCTGTTTCTCTCTCACCCACTTTCTTACTCTGTCCCTCTCTGGTGAAATTAAAATAAATGAATAAAGTTAAATAATTCTTTTTAAAAATGTCAAAAAAGATCCAATGTTGGCAAGACTATAATTGTAACTGAAAGTGGTAGTATAAGTTATAAGTTGGATTATAGCTTGGATAAACCTCTTTAGAGGGCAGGCTGATTAGAAGTAGAGTTGTTTTATTTTTTTCCCCCTTGCTGGAGGGCCCATGTGCTCACCGGAAAGAGACAGAGATGGGAGGTGCCTCCCCCCACCCCCCAAGATGGTCACATCATAATCCTTTCTCCTTCATTTCTCCTTTTAGGATTTTGGGCACATACACACACATGCCTGGTGTGTTTCTCAAGCTACTGGGTCCAGGACTCAAACTGCACAGTTAGCCGTGTGGGATCCAGCCACTGTAACCACTGTGCCACCAGTTGGCTCTAAAAGTAGAGTGTTAAGAATGTATGTGCCTGGGTGGTATGTGGCCAGGTGGTTAAGGGAAGTGGATCCCACCTGGCTGACTGTGATCTGAATCCCAGCCCCAGTGAAAAACAGCCAGGCATGCATGCATATGTGCCCCAAATCCTGACAGAATAGGGAAATAGAGAAGGGACTACAATGTGACCAAGCCCAACTGGGGAGTGCTTTTCTCTCTCTCTCTTTGTCTCTGGCGAGTGCTTATACCCACTGGCAATTAAAATAAATAAGTAAAATTATTTTCAAAGTGCAGCATATGTGCATGTGTATATGTTCTGTTTCTTTTTCCTTCAAGTTGATTTTATAAGACACTTTCATGTTTGCATGTATCTATGTAAGAATCATAGTTACTATTTTGATGGATATATAATATTCTATAGTAATGCTTTCTCATAATTTCAACATTTTCCTTTGTTAAAAATTTTAGTTACTTTAGGTTTTATTATGCTGCACGAAATATCTTTGTACGTGTTGTTTCTTTGTAATTATTTTCTTTAAATTAGTGAAAAAAATTTTTTTGGAGAGGTTTTTGCTATAGGGCACGTGCACTTGCCAGAAAAAGATAGAGAGACAGAAAGTGAGAAATCACCCCCTAAGGAGGGATGGCCACACTGCAATCCCTTCTCCTCCATTCTCCTCTCAGGATCTTGGGCACGCACGCACATGCACCCAACATAAGTTTAAGCTATCAGGTCCAGGACTTGAGCTGCAGTCAACGACATGGGAGTCTAGCAACATAGCCATTAAGCCAACTACTGGTCCCCAAATTAGTGAAATATTTTTAAGAAATATTTTTTATCATTATTTTATTTAACTTATTTTTTCTTTATTTTATTTTAATTTGACCAGTGAGAGAGAGAGAGAGAGAAAGCAAGCCTCCAATTCTGGGACTCGAACCATGGTCAGCCATATGGGAGTCTAGCACCCTTAACTACCACACCACCTGCCAGCCCCAAGAAAACATTTTAATATGGGACATTTCAAATATATGCAAAAGTAGAAAGAAAAGTTAATATTATTTCCCTAGTTGCCTTTTATTATTATTATTGTTGTTTTAATTTTACCAGAGGGCACATATGCTCACCAGAGAGAGTCAGAGAGAGAGAGTAAGAGGAAAAATAAGAAAGCATCCCTGATGGGAAATAATCACACTGCAAGACTTTATCCTACATTTTCCCCTCCTTTAGGCATTTTGGACATGCATGCATATGTGCCTGGCATGTTTTTCTTTCTTTCTTTCCCTCTTTCTCTCTCTTTCTTTCTTTCTTTTTAAGAAAGATTTTTGCTAGAGGGTGCATGTGCTTGCCAGAGACACAAAGAGAGACAGAAAGTGAGAAATCATCCCCCAGGGGAGGATGGCCACACCACAATTCCTTCTCCTCCATTCTCCTCTCAGGATATTGGGCATGCACGCACATGCTCCCAGTGTGAATTTTAAGTTGCTAAGTCCAGGACTCAAACCACGGTTGACTACATGGGAGTCCAGTGATGTAACCATTACGCCATCTGCTAGTCCCACCTGGCATGTTTTTCAAGCTATCAGGTCCAGGACTCAAACTGCACTGTTTGACCATGTGGGATCCAGCTACCTTAACCAACACACCACTGGCCAGCCCTCCTTATTATTATTTTTAAAAATATGTTTATTCAAAGAAGGTCTGTATATTGCAGTTGGTTAATATTTTTCTTAAATCTTTTTAGAGGTTCCCTACTTCTTTTTTCTTTCTTTTTGTTAAAGAAACTGAGTCTATCTATAGGGTTTCCTACCTTTGGATTTTGCTAAAAGTGTCCGTTCATGTTCTTTTCTTCCCTATATTTCTAGTAAACTGATCATTGGACCTAGAAACTTACTCATATTTAAGTCCTTAATATTTTTCAGTAGTACTCCATATGTAAAATAACTTTTTTTCTCTCGTTGTGATGAGTCAAATCTATGAAAGATCCTGGTTACTTTCTTTCATAATAAATGTGAAAGAAAAAAATTCGGTAGAAATTGTGGTGGTGGAGGAATACGCGGGGGTAGACTCATGGTCTTTTTTGGGTTAAGATATAACAATGTCTCCTTCTCTTTCAGGAGGCTGAGAAAATGTTAGAACTGGGGGGAGACAAGTTCCCCTTAGAGAGTAGGAAGTTACTAAGTAGCCCTGGAAAGAACAATTTCAGGTAAAAGTTCCAAAGTATCAAGGAATTTCTTTGTTTGAATTATTCTGTGAACATTCAGGTTTTGTGGTGGGGGTTATATCACATATGCAGCTGTTGATATAAAGGGCTCCCAGTCCCAGACCAGCAGGTGGCGGGGAGGGTAAGGTGTTGGATCCCACTTGACTGGCTGTGTGGTTTGAATCCCAGACCTGGTGGCTTGAAAATCGTGCCAGGTGCATGTGTGTACGCCTCAAGCCTGAGAGGAGAATGGAGGAGAAGGGATTGCCACATAGCCATCACTCTTCCCCTACCTCAGCCTCTCTCTGGTGAGCACTTGTGCCCTGTAACAAAAACTTAAATAAGTAAATAAATGAAAGAAAGAAAGAAAACAGGGGGAAAAAAATAAAAAATAAAAAAAGGAGCTCCCAGTCCCACCTTGTAAAATTACCTTTTTAATTTCATTTTTACTAAATGCCCATTGTGTGCCAGGCTTATGGCTGGTGCCAAGAATCACAAGAGGAGAGGTCAGGGAGTCAATTTACTGAGTAGTGCCCCTGTGTCAAGACTGTGCCAGAGGGCACATTTAAGTGCTCTTTTTTAACCATTACATCTCTCTGATGTAAGTCTCATTATCCATGTTTGTATAAGTAAGGAAACAGAGACTCAGAAAGTTTTAGATAAGTTGCCCAAGAAAGTTGCTAACTAGAAAAAGAAGATTAAAAAACTCTGTCCATTCCTCAAATCAGTGCTCCTTCTGCCCTTTTCTGCCACCTTCCAGAGATGAACAGAATGTGGTTCTTATTTCCAAAGAGTTCTCAGCCTGAAGTTCCCTTGCTTAGTAAGCCTTTGGTATAAGTGGAAACAGCCCATTCCATACTGGCTCATGATGCCTACAGTCCTGGGAGCCAAGGGGTAACTGCACTGGGATCACAGAAATCCCTTCCTTCTGCCCACGATTTTATATCCCCGTTTATCAAACTGTCACTCACCTCAAGTTATAGAAAGCTAAATGGCTCCATTTGTGGTTTTGCTCCTGGAGTCTTGTTTCTGCTTTGGAACAGGTACATGCGCTCTGAAAGAGCCTGGAGGTCAAGGGGGCTGAGAAGGAAGAGAGCAGGGCATCTGGGTCACGTAGATTCTGGAGGGTTTATGGCTGAATCATTGAATTGACTGTGGTTTATAAAGCAGAAGAAATTAGAAAAGTATTTTCTTTGGTTCTTAAACTTTCTATAAATTGTTAGGGAAGGGGCCATAGGCTTTGAATTCTCTGGTGACAACGTAGAAGCCAAGTTCTGTCTCTAGTGCAATGCTGCCTCCTCTTTCAGCATTTTTAAAAAAGAATTATTTATTTAATTTCATTTATCATCATATATTTTATTTGACCAGAAAGAGACAGAGAGAGAGAAAGTGAGTAAGTAAGCCTTTAGGTCTAGGACTTGAATTGTGGTTGGCCATGTGGGAATCCAGCACCTTAACCACCATGCCACCTGCCAGTCCCGCTTTTTACCATTTTAGGAGACAGTCTGGCCTGTGAAAAATGTCACAGTACCCTGGGGCTCTAGGAGACCAAAGACTGGATTCAAGATCTTTATTCTCTACCTACCATCATTTGACCTTGAACAGTCACTTAGCCCTGTGAGCTTTGGTTTCCATACCTTCAAATGAGGATGTTAATCTCTTTTGTTATAATGATTAAGACAATATATTGTAAAAGTCCTTTGTATATTACAAGTAAAAAATTTTGGCCTGGCACACAGCAAATGCTCAGTAAGTGGTAGCTCTTGACGCTGCCAATGGCATCATAGTGCCATGACCAACATCCCCAGAGAGGCCCTTTGGGGGAACACATAGTGGTGGAACAAAACTCGCCACCACCTGGCACCCAGCCCAGCCATCAGCACCACCTCATGGGTGACCTTCTGACCTTCTCTCTTAACATTCAAACTACCGTGGCTTCAGGAAGAATACCCATACTCCAGCTGGTTCCCAGAGCTTCTAAGAGCTGTTAGCTGGGCCCTCTCAGGCCCAGTCTTTACCTTCTGTTGGAGTGGTAGCCATTATAGACTGAGATATGTGTTTCACTTGCATGTCTTGACATTCAGTGTCCTACACATTGCTTTCAGATGTGACCCCTCTGAGATTAATATATCTGATGAAATGCCTAAAACCACAGTCTGGAAAGCTCTCAGTATGAATTCTGGAAATGCAAAGGAAAAAAGGTAAAGAGAACCATAATTTCTGATTTTTATTTATTTCTGGCTTTTGATAATGGCAATAATGTTGAGGGTAAGATATATTTTAGTTGTAAAATTGGATTTGTCTAGTAAATAGTGCTTCCAGGACTGCTGTTAACCCAATGAGAATAGCTGTAAGTCCTAAGAAAAGTAAAAATGTTTTTGACATATTTAAAGAGACAGGCTGTTTTAGCTGCCCATTGACACATGTCTAGATTCAGGATGGAATTATTTTGGGATATAAATTTGTTTTATTTATTTAGTTTCTTTAATCTTTCTAGTTCTCATTTCAAAATCTAAAAGGTGTCTCTCTGGTTATTGAAACCACACAAGCTAAAATAGTATTAATACAGACTTTAACATATTTAACATGTTTTTAAATGAGAATTACTGCCAAATAGAGATTTTTAAATATTAAATTGTAACTTTTTTCTTTTTGGAAACTAAATTCTGTATATCATTTGCTAATAGAACAGATAAATTTTAATCAAGTTAATGAAGAAACTAGGAAGACTTCAGGTACAGTGCCAGCAGGTGGCATGGTGGTTAAGGTTCTGGATTCCCACATGCTGACTACTGTTTGAGCCCTGGACCTAGTGGCCTGCTTTCTCACTTTTCCTCTTTTTGTCTCTCTCTGGTGAGCAAATTTTCCCTGTAGCAAACCTAAAAATAATAATAAATGAATAAAATAAATAATTTTTTAAAAAGAAAGACTTGAGGCATCTTTGCACTGAGTATCTTTGCCTATACTGAGGTAGGCTATGTGCTCAAATCATTTGAATATTTCAGTTAAAATGCCATATGAATTTATGTAGTCAAAGAACTGAAGCAAAATATGAGGGTTTTTTGTTTGTTTGTTTTTTGCCATAGGGCATGTGAGTTTGCCAGAGAGAGAGAGATAGTGAGAGGGAAAAATGAGAAATCACCACCCCTATCCACACTGGGGGATGGCCACATCATAATCCCTTCTTCTCCATTCTCTTTCATTCTCCTCCATGCATACACATGCATTTAGCATGATTTTCAAGCAACCAGGTCTGGGACTCAAATCATGATCCACCATGTGGAAGTCCAACACCTACCACTACAATACCTGCTGGCCCTCCTGAAGCCTATTAAAGGCAACTTCTTAGTTTGTTTTTTTTTTTTAAAGCTAGAAAACAAGAAACGTAATCCTACTATTAAGTCCATGTATGAGAAAAATCTTCAAAAAGTTTATGGATGCATGTTTTTGAAAAATCTATACATGGATTTCAAGTATTTTTGCACCAAAATTTGTATTTTAACTTCCTGTTCCTCAAATTTTTTTGAAATCCCTCATATAACTTGGCAGACCATTGTTTTCAACTTATTCAGCAGTAAAAGGGTTATCACAATTAACTGCCTCACTCATAAGGCTGCTCGGAGGAGAAACTGAACTGCATTAAAAAGTCACAGTCACCAGTGGGTGGTAGTGGTGGGCTATTTCTTCATTGAATGGGTTAAAAGAAATCTGTGTTGAATATGAGTGAAATATAGAAGCTTGTTTCCTTCAGAGGAAAATCCAGGCAGCTGTCGAAATGTATAACGTGCATGAGTATTTTTAGTTGAGAACTAGTCTGCTTGTAAATGAACTTAAAATATAGCCAGATCCAAATTGTGGTGACATCTTCAAAGTATTGTGTTAAAAGCAGGA